GCAGTTGAATTTAAAAGTCGAGCAAAAAGGTGCAGCCGGCTGTTGCTACGCGCGAATTATCGACCAGCCGTAGCTGCCGCCTGTAGCCGCTCCGAAGGTTCTCCTGTGTATAGGAGTCACAGAGGCGAGCGTAGCGTGGAGATAGCGGAGAGCCTCGGTCCGGTGGATGCTGCATGGACCAACGAAGAAGGATGCACCAGTCTGCCGGCAGCTGCGCCGCTGCTGGCATCTGTGCAGATGCGTCTGGCCAGTATCTACGCAAATGTCCCATTTCCACTTTGACGTGCCGATAAGTCCCTCGCATCGATTACGTGCCTTTTGAGCTGCCAAGATTTTATCTCCGCTCGAGTCACGGGATCTCATTTTAAATCGTGAAATTTCAGCTGCGAAAAGGCTTTTGACGTTTATTAGGTGTTCGTAGAGAATTTAAAAAGAATATTATCGACTACTCGTTCGTCTATATTTATACATGGGGTGGCTCAATCTGGGACAAGTCGCGGCGATACGTCGCGTTCTTCAGGTCGCTGCGTGATAAGACGTACGTAAGGTATAAGCGGTCCTTCCTTATCTTCATTCCTTCTTATCCTTTCGGGTCGTTTCGAGAGACCGAAAACCGTCTACGTCACCGTCGCATGGGAATTTTTAATTTAACTTTACCGCTCCTCCGAGACGCTTCTTCCCGTTAACGGTCTGCGGGCAGGAAGAGCGCGAAAGCAGGAAAAATAATGAAAAGACGAGGAAAAGTTAGGAAGGATCTCGACGTCGGGAAAATATGAAGTTAGTGGACCAGTGGAAGACGCGTGAAAAGCATGAAAATAAAGAATCTTACATTTTCATTCTTCATTGATTTTGCCTTCGATGCTCTTTCGCTTTCGAACTCGCGTATTGCCAAATGGACAAGCGAATCGACTCGATTCAAGATTCGCAGAGTTTTGGCACATACTGTACGTAGTACGCGTCAAAGGGTGGGGATGGGCAGTTGGTTTATCGGAATATTCAGAACATCGATCGATTACGATATATGTATTCCCTCTGCTCAGAAGCATAACAAGCAGCGCCCGTACGTAGATACTTACGATCTGGAAATTGCACCAATTTCCCCAGTGCAAATATTTACTCATTATTCGATTCTTCTTCGCAACGGACGACCGACCAATGACTACTGCACTTTTCTCTTTTCATTACCGACGATTGGTCGATTCTTTTATTTTCCTTTTCTACCATTCTTATCTTCCATTCTGCTGTTTACATTTCAGTATATCGTATTTTAGTTGAATTTAATTTAGTTTAGTCAGCGCTCGGGCGAGTCTGGTCTAAGGCCGGGTGCACACATCGATTTTTTGGCTTGCGGCAGCAAGAACGGAATTGCGGTCTAGGATAATCCGAACGGCGGCGCGAAATGCACGCAAGGTGGACGTGCGGCGTCGCCACGTCGCCACGTCGCCGGAAGTATTTCGGGAGTGACTCGTGTTATCCTAGACCGCAATTCCGGCGCCGCACGACTAAAAACGGATGTGTGCACCGGGCCTAAGATGGCCTACTGACCTAGAGAAAGAGAGACAGAGAGAGAGAGAGAGTTTTGTCCTATCGTCAATAAAGTACTTGGCGCGTCAAATTTTTGCAAACGTGGGAAAAATATATTTATCTAAAATTTTGTTGTTTCTCGCTCTTTCTTGCATTCTCTGTTGTATTTCCTATGCAATACACGGATGAATGATATGGATATTGAATTGCCGACGATTCCGGCAAGACAAATATATGGCGTCCCTTTCCGCATCGCAGGGGCCTTCGGCAGGTACGCGTCCCATTACTAAAACGTTAACTTAAATTGTGCCTGAAAGTTGGAGCAGCCCAGCAAACTGAAACTAAATTAAAGTTACCTCCTTCGAGGGTTTTCCGGTGGCTGAATTTCTGAGCCAGAAGAAACTGAAAGAGCAATGTAACACCTTGGAACATCCGGTAGAGTTGGAGCGATCGAGATGAGGGATCCTCGATCGTCCGATGCGGCAGAGAAGGATCAATCGGAACGTCAGTAGGTGACTGCCGATGATCGAAGGAGAATTAATGGGGAAACGCGAAGTTTCAACCGAGCTCCGAGACTTTCTGGAGCCACTTTGCTTCCTTTGCCTCTCACCGGTTACTCTCGGTGGGATTAACCTGGCCAATCGATACGTTGTCTGCCGCTTCTCTGTCCTCTG